GCATAGTTTATTTTTATTGTAAGTGGTTTTTATTATGTCGGCTTAAAATATATACCAGCAGAACCAGAAGTCTATGGTGAGTGGGAGATTTGTATTCATAGCACTTATCTTTTTCAGCTCTTCTATCTGTAAGATATCAGTATCGTAGAAAATACTGACTTTGTACATGAAACATTCTAATGTTGCAACACCTCAACAAAGTTGATAGTAAGACCTAAACGTGGACTTAAAAAATTTATTGCTTTTGATTTTACTGCTATGCAACCGATGTGATTGGTTCACAACTGGTAGCTCATCAAGTTAGTCGATGGGTGGGCATTCGTGATACATCTATCAATCTTTCATCCTTATCTAGTACTCGTTTCCCTAAGGACAGCATTGCTTACTCGGTTGTCCCACGATACACGAGCAATGCTCCGAAGACATCTATAGTCGAATATTAATAACCTACAAATATCTTCTACTCTTACGGATCATGTTTCACAGCCATAAAGTAAGACGGAGCGAACTACTGTGCAGTAGACTCGTCCTTTGGTTAGCAAACGGATATCTCGCCTACGCCATAAGTGACGTAGGTTGGCAAAAGCCAATCTAGCCTTCTGTATCCGAGCTGAGATTTGGTCAGCCACCAGGCCATCAGCACTGATGAGACTCCCCAGATAAGTGAAGTGTTCTACACGTTCGACTACTTCACTCCCTATCAGTAGTTCAGGTGCCGGTGCAACCCAATCTTGAGGCAACATTTTGCATTTCGAAGGGGAAAACTGCATCCCGACTATACTTGCATTGTTGCTTAAGGTGGTCAGAAGACTCTGCATTTTGTCAGCGTCTTCACCAAATAGAACTATGTCATCGGCATATTCTAAGTCAATAAGCGAGCCACCTGGTAGAACGTCTACTTCAGAAAATTCAGATGAGGATAAGGTTATTTCTAAGAGCATGTCTATGATAAAATTAAACTAGAATGGAAGAGAGTCGACATCCCTGATGGACACAACTTGAAGTAAAGAATTCCGGTAACAGGTCGGCATAAGCTCCCCTTCGACCAGTGGTGTTCGTAAAAGCATACGAGACCAAATTGGTCAAAATCAAATCCTTCTTACCCTCGGTAGTTGTGTCTGTGTGATGGTATGTGATGGTATGGCAACTTGAACTGATGTACACAGGTACAATGTTCTACGTTGTAACTGACTGACTGACTCAAAAACATCCAGTCATTATATCAGTTCACCTTCGGTTAAATGTTCCATACGAAAAAATATACATATATATATACATCAACAAACAAGTTGAACACCACTGATCACTCATTATCACTTACACGGCTTATTATTCTCATTTACATGAATTAATAAACGTATACGACTATGAAATATTTGACAACGATATTTTGTTAATTGATCAGTACGATGTAATATTTCACTAAGATTTGTATTCATGGCATAAATCACACTGGGTCGGGCTTGTTTCAATTGACTGATCCATTCATTACAGATTGTTGAATCAACAATAACACCATTGGCTGCTAGTGGTGAGTGATGGTCATGATGATGATGATGACTGTTATCAGTAGTATTAGTAGTAGTATAAGTAGTCGGATTATTGATCCTTTTTTGATTATTCATTGATAAATAGATAGTACACTGGAATAGTTGAATCATTTCAATGCCTAAATTTAATCGATATTGTTCACATAATTTCAATGTGACATTGATTTCATTCAAAGCGTACACATATAATTTCAATGTGATCAATAATTCAATCTGTTAAGTGAAGAAAATAACAATGCGAATAGTAATAATGATAATAAATCAACTGTATACATACAAACTTATGGCGTGGGTGTGTGATATCTGTTCGCTAACCAAAGGACGGGTGTACTGTGCAGTAGTTCGCTCCGTTCTCTCCTATATGGCTGTGAAACATGGCTGTTAAGAGTAGAAGATGTTCGTCGGTTATTAGTATTTGATTATAGATGTCTTCGAAGCATTACTCGTATATCGTCGAACAACCGAGTAAGCAATGCTGTCGTTAGGAAACGAGTACTAGATAGGTGAAGTAGTGAAACTTCATCAGTTGAGGTGGTTGGAACATGTGCTATGAATGCCACTAAACCACCGACTGCCTCGACGAGCTTTGTTTTGTGGTGTAGGTGTAGATTGGAAGAAAGCTAGGGGTGGCCAAACTAAAACATGGCACAAATCCATGAAGTTGCTGACAAGTAGACTGAGTCGTGTTGCTAGATGTAGACTACCTGGTTTGGGGTTCGCGAGACGAAAGTCACCGATGGTTAGAGACCTTGAACGACATGGCTCAGAATCGTTTGCAATGGTGCAAGTGCATCCATTCGTTGTGAGCTCTCAAATCTTAATCTTCTGGATTCGTCAGCACCTCTACCTTTGTTTTTCTAAACATATCTCACTGAATTATACTTCTTGAATAATATCTTCAAATCCTAGTCTTCTTCATTACCATTAATACCTTTACTATCTCTATCACTATGGGATTTGATTTGACATTTGCGTCTCTGTGTGCTAATTTGGTGGTATGGCAACCTGAACTTGTGTACATACGTACGTAGTTCTACGTTGCAACTGACTGACTGCATACAAAATTTATTCAAGCGAGCGAGGGACACACTGCAGCACATACGACGAAGAAGCACTGAAAAAACGAGGAAAGACACACCTTGTGACAGTGTCTTCCAAAAAAGAACGGTTATCCAAGCAACTTCATCAAAAAAACATCAACCGAAACGATTAACAAAAGCGAAATCAAGCAAGTACAGGAATCAATAAACGGATCATCCTACCATACATATTAAAGACATATCGAACCATACAACACGACTACTGAAACCATTTGGAATAGGTGTGTGGCACATAATAAACCAACAGAATCACTTCAATCAATCCTATGTTGTAGACCAAAAGGACAAAATGACAAATGAATAAGCACCAAATATCATCTACAAAATAAACAACTGCTCGGAATGTGAAAAACACTGCATAGGACAAAGTGGACGTCCCCCTTCAGCTTCGTTTACGTGAACATCAATTAGAAGTCAAACGCCATGACAATTCTTCGCTTATATCAATACACACCAACAATTATGGAAACATACATTCGATTGGAACAATGTGGAAATACTGGGTAGGGGGAGGACAAAGAACACTAGGGAATTTTTAGAAGCTTGAAACTCAGGTCAATCAGCAATCAACAAACACATCGACATTGACCCAATTTATCAACCAATCAGAAAATTCATAGGCAACATATAGGATCAAGAAACAGATCAAAAGAGGGAGGATACAATCAAAACCAAGATGCAAATAACGACAGGTTTAAAGTCAACAGCAGCAACCAATCAAGATCAAGGTTAACAGAACAAGCTACAGGTCAAACGCGTGGAGAAATTCTAATGCTTCACTTCCATCTGAAGTTTATGCTGATGATGTTGTTCAGAAGAACAATGAAAGCTTCACAACCAAAACATTCAGCTCAGAGAACCAAACACCACCACCACAATCATCCACCTGAGCTACAAATCTTCTCCAGCATCTCGGTATGGGACTATTATTCATTAGTGGCAGTGTGCATCCACGACCCATACTCACGGGAATCGAACCAACAATATTAGGTCTCGCGCGCGAACGCTTTACGTCTAGACCACTGAGGCAGCATTCACAACGGTGTTAATGTCTAACTTTATATATTAAGTAACACCTAGTGGAACATAAGTACTGTATGGAGCGGAAACTTGGAGAACTACCAAAGCCATCATCCAGAAGATACAAGTGTTTATTAACAGTTGTCTACGCAAAATACTTCGGACTCGTTGGCCAGACACCATCAACAACAACGTACTGTGGGAGAGAACAAACCAGATTCAAGTGGAGGAGGAAATCAGGAAGAAGCGGTGGAAGTGGATAGGACACACACTACGAAAAGAATCGAACTGCGTCACAAGACAAGCCCTTACTTGGAACCCTCAAGGTGAAAGGAAAAGAGGAAGGCCAAGGAACACATTACGCCGAGAAATAGAGGAAGATATGAAAGGAATGAACAAACATTGGACAGAAGTGGAGAGGGAAGCCCAGGTCAGAGTTGGTTGGAGAAAACTGGTGGGCGGCCTATGCTCCATTGGGGGTAACAGGCGTAAGTAAGTAAGTAGGTAAGTGGAACATAAGGTTGCCGACTAGCATTCTCTAAACTACTATTCTATTTTGGGCCTTCCTTTCCAGTTCTACATAACTGCTGTTCATTCTCTTCATGTTTGCTTCCGACAATCAGCGTAATGTGTTCTTTGGTCTACTTATCCCTACTTTGGCATTGAGGATTCCAAGTTAGGGCGTGCCTCGTGACGTAGTTGAGTGATTTCCTCAAATGTATATCCTAACCACCTTCAACGCTTCTCCCTTGTTTTTTCCTCAGTTGAAACTTGGTTTGTTCTTTCCCACAGAAGTAGGTTGTTACTGATAATATCTGGTCAAAGGATGCAGAGTATCTTGAGAGGACAACAGGTGTTTATAAACACTTGTATCTTATGGATGATGACTTCCATGGTTCTCCAAGTTTCCTGCTGCATGCAACAAAACTGTCTTAAAGTTTGTAAAGTTTGAAAATTCTGACTTTACAGTTGGTTGACAGACCGCTTGTTTTGAATTTCAGATGTTATTCAATTGTAGAAATGTTGTCGTGTCTACACATCGGTATTAGAGCCATTTCGTCGATCAATGATCCTGCCCAGTAATGTTAAGATTAATACTAACCAAAACAAATGGTCAACAATAATTTCTAACTCATATATAACTCGTTTACTCTGAATTTTTGAGCTGATGATACTCTATCCTACTTACTATTCAGATTAATATATATATGGATAGGAACATGATATTTGATAATACAAATGTATGAAAGCAGTTAAGGAAGTAGAACCAAATGGAAGCCAGTAAGAGTAGAAGATATTCGTAGGTTACTGGTTTTCGATCATAGGTATCTTCGAAGCATTGCTCGTATATCCTGGGACACCCAAGTGAGCAACGCTGTTATTAGGAATCGGGTGCTAGGTAAGAATGGCAGATCAATAGACGCAGTAGTGACACTTCATCAGTTGAGGTGGTTGGGACATGTGTTGTGTATGCCTAACCACCGACTGCCTCGACGAGCTTTGTTTTATAGTGTAGGAATAGGTTGGAAGAAAGTTAAGGGCGGCTAAACCAAAACATGGCACAAATCCATGAAGTCATTGACAAGTGGACTTAGCCATGTCGGTAATTGTCGACTACCTGGTTGGGGTCCGCGAGATGATAATAATCGATGGTTAGAGACCTTGAATGACATGGCTCAAAATCGTTCGCAATGGCGCCGGTGCATTTATTCTTTGTGTTCTCTCAAATCCTAATCTTCTGGATTCTTCAACTTTCTTATCTCACTGAATTATACTTCTTGAATAATATCTTCTAATCCTAATCTCTCCGATTACTTCTAATACCTTTACTACCTCTTCTACCATTGGATTTGAATTGACAATTACATCTTTGTGTGCTGATGTGGTATGGCGACATGAACTGATGTACTTACGTACGAAGTTCTACGTTGCATCTGACTGACTGAAATGGAACCGAATGGTATAAAATATTTTAGATGTCGACTTTCGCAATTTTAAAAGTTTAAGGACGATAACAGTTGAATACTATGCTATAGCGAAAGTGATACGCGCAACCGCCTCGCCCCATCCCACCAAATGAGATACTTGACTAATGATTTGCAATCATACTTTGGGTTATTTCTGACTGTCATCCAATAAACCTGCTCGTTCTGATTGGTTTTCTAAATTAAGAAGCGATTTATATCGGACATTTACAGTCGGTTTGTGATCCCCTCTCAAATCTAACGAAATATGAAACTTTGAAGTGTAAGTAAATAGCTTAACTTTAAAGGATATTTCAAACAGATACGTATATTACTAGAAATTAGGTAAAGCATTGATGTGACGTAAATTTTATATTTCGTATTACAGTATTATAGAAATCGTTAGACCACCATCATAAACCTGGAAGAACTAGATGGCCATTTCATCTTAGTATTGGACACAGCAGTAATGTGCATCCGCGAGTTGCGGTAGTCATGGATGCGCACCACTGATGAGTCCAATTCTAGGACGAAACAGCTATCATCAACTACTTCCAGGTTTCTAACAATGGTCTAACATGATTTCAAATGTGTAACTTGATAATTTTCACAACTCTGTCAGATTTTCACAAGTGACCAGATCCGTAAAGAAGTGTTTCTCCCAGTTCTAGTGAGAAGTAAACAGTGGAGTTCAACCTTGTTCGGATGTGAAGCAGTAATCATCAGTCAGTCAGTTGCAACGTAAGAACTTCGTACGTATGTACATAAGTTCATGTTGCCATACCACCAAATTAGCACAAAGACGCAGATGTCAAATCAAATCCCATAGTGATAAAGATAGTAGAGGTATTAATGTTATAATAAAGAAGACTAGGGGGTTCGAAGATATTAATTATTCAAGAAGTATAATTCAGTCAGATAAGGTTAGAAAGACAAAGGTAGAGGTGTTGACGATTCCAGAAGATTAGGATTTGAGAGAGCTCAAAGAATGGATGCATTTGCGCCATTGCAAACGATTTTGAGCCATGTCGTTCAAGGTCTCTAACCACTGGTGACTTTCGTCTCGCAGACCCCAACCAGGTAGCCTACACCTACCAACATGACTCAGTACCACTTGTCAGTGTTCGTATCTGTT